ATAACTAATTTTATAACCCAATGAGATTTTTTACTCGCGGAGTTAAAACAACAATTATTTGAAGGTTATCCACAGATGGTATAGGTACCTAGAAAAAAATAACTGTAAAATCAATTTTAAATGCACAAGTTAAAATTTAATATTATGATAACTATGTTGTGTATAAAATATACATTTCTCCAAGGAATAATTTTGGTTAAAAATAACTTTGGGGCAACATTTATACAATTAAGCGTAATTAAATATTATTACATTTTAAATTATATTTACTGTTCATAATACCTAGCAATCAAAACTTTCTATCCAAATATTACGTTTGCAGACATAAAGCATGATAATATTATAGTATTATACAAAGCACATGCCTTTACGAATGTTATTAAATCGATGGTTGATAATATTATATAGTGTTGTAATATCAATTATTAATATTACAGATAACTCGCATAATTATGCTGACTATAGTTGCTTCATAATTATCAAAATATATTATGCCTATTATCTATTTTTTTTTTTTAAAGTAACAATTTATATTATTGGCGTTTGAAGTTTTGAACAAAAGTAACCATTCAGTTATTTATAAATGGGACTTACCTTTTTTTTTTTTTTGCTATTCAATATTTGTATTCTTTTTCATTATTTTTTTACTGCCTTTCATGTGGTTAGTATAAGTCTTTATTAGTAGTAACAAACAGCCAGTAGGACTACCTATATCTAATAAAACAATAATATATCACAATCGTAAAATCGTTGTTATTGTTTTCGTCTGTATACCATTTTTCCTGGTCGGGTATCCAGACTTTAATATTAAATCAAATTAAATTTTAAATTAAATTAAATTTTATACAACCCGAATAAACCTTTATCCAAATAAAATCTTAGAGTCCATATTAAGTAAGTTCTTAAGTTTGTAGGTATGTATACAATAATGTATGAATAGACATATTATCATAATATTATATTTATAAAAAAATATCATTGTGTAATTAATTTTATTAAAGTTGACACAAACATGTTTGTATTGCTATTTTATTGTAGCCATATGCATTTTGCAGTGTACACTATACAAATATACCAAAGCCTAAGGGAATCGTGTACAGTACAAAATACTAAAATTGATCGAGCCTTCTAATAATATTTGATGAACTTTAATAATATTATTTTTTTTTTTTTTTATTGATCACAATAACATCGACAACAAAGGCCATTAGTTACAAATATTTACAAATATTTACAAATGATATACGATATTAGAATAAATAATTAGGACTGGAACATTTTTTTTTTTTTTAAATACAATTAAACAATTTTGTTTGTTTTGTAAAATTAATTATATCTAGGATATTTTCTTGATTGGGTCCAAGTGTAGTGTGAAGGTGGTATGATATCCTATGATCAGCGCGCTCTTGATTATACATTAAACAGTCAGCTATTATGTGCTTGACGGTTAATGCAGTTCCACAGGTTTGGCAAATGGGAGGATCCTCTCTGGCCATGAGGAAACCATGAGTGATTCTGGTGTGTCCTATGCGAAGTCGGTCAAGAACCATCTCCTCTTTCCGAGTGAGTTTTGGGCTTGACCACCGGAAGATGTCTCTTTTTATTTCATTAAGTTTAGTGTTTTGTAAGTTCCATAGATTTTGCCATTTATTTTTTGAATATTCGTTTATGAGTTTTTTTGAATCAGTATATGACATTTGGTTTATTAACACGGTTTCGTTGTTGTTAATGGCTATGGATGCTTGTTCATCTGCTATTTCATTGCCTCTTATACCTGAGTGGCCAGGTATCCACATGATGATGATTTCATTTCCCAGAAAGGAAGCTTTGTTGAGATTGTTCTGGATTTTAGATGCAATGTCGCAGGGGTTGAATTGGTTTTGTAAACTTTTTACCGAACTCAGTGAGTCGCTGAGGATGATGAATTTGGAGTGGGGTTCTTGGATTATAATCTCAGTAGCCATTAGGATAGCAATACTTTCGGCTGTGAATATGGAACAGATATTAGGAAGTTTGTGTAATACTTTTTTATTTGGAAATATTATCGAGAATCCCACCCCTTCATTAGTTTTTGAACCATCGGTGTAAACTTCCTGGAAGTCTTTGTAGTTATCTATTGTGCTTTTAAAGAAGTTTTTAAAAATAAAGGGGGAGGTTTGATGTTTGGGCAAACAACTGAGCTCAGTATTAATTGTGTATGTGTTGGCCCACGGAGGTTGGACGTTTTTTTCATAGGTTATGATTTGCGAAATGTCTAAGTTGCAGTTTCTCATCTCTTTTATAAAGTGGGGGTTATTTTTTTCGTGTATGGTGATGTTTGATTTGGCGGATCTTGCTGCATATTTGAGGTATAATTCCAGTCTTTTTATTTCAGGAATGGTTTCACCGGCAATGTTATATATACTGAGAACGGGGCTGCTGCGAAAAGCTCCTAATGCCAGTCTCAGGCCACAGTTAATAACACTGTCGAGCCAGTTTAGAAGGGATTTGGATGCAGTTCTATAGAGTAATGAGCCGTAGTTAAGTTTGGACTGGATTAATGTTTTATGGATTTTAATTAATGTGTTTGTTTCCCCACCCCATGTGGTATGGGAGAGAATTTTTAATATTTTAAGTGAGTTACAAGTGGAGGTTTTTAAATGCTTTATGTATGGAGACCACGATAAACGTCTGTCAAATATGACTCCAAGCATTTTTGCAGAGTTTCTGTATGCGACTTCAGTTCTATCAATTGTTATTATTAAAGCATCAGTATTCCTTTTTTTTGTGAAAATTGTACAGCTAGATTTTTCTGGGGAGAATTGGAACCCGGTTTTTTTAGCCCAGTTTTCTAAATTAGTTGTTGCTGTTTGGAGCAGGCTTTGGATTGTGTTTTTACAGTTGCTTCTGCACCAGAAGTTGAAGTCATCGGCATATATATTGAATTTAACAGGAGGCAAACAGCTTTCAGTTATGTCATTAATGGCGACTAGGAAGAGGGAGACTGAGAGAGCCGATCCTTGAGGAACACCGTTTTCTTGAATGAACTCCTTTGAAAGGAAATTATTTGCTCTAACTCTGAATGTGCGTCTTTCTAGGAAATTGGTAATTAAATTCAGAAAATTTCCTTTGCCTATTATTTTGTTTAGTTTTACTAAAATGTTGTGCCTCCAGGTGGAGTCGTAAGCTTTGGTGATATCAAGATTTATTATACCCATAATTTGTTTTTTGTTAAATGTTTGAGTGATTTCCTCTTTAATTTCAATCAAATTGTCTATCGTACCTCGGTTTTTTCTGAATCCGTTCTGATGAGGGGAAAAAAAGGAGTTTTTTTCTAATAGCCAGTTAAGTCTGTGGTTTAAAATTTTCTCAAGCAGCTTACACAATGTGTTGATTAAGGTGATCGGCCTGTACCCTTCTGTGCGGAATTTGTCTTTACCCGGTTTTGGAATAGGAATAACTATACCACTCTTCCAAGTGGATGGCCATATTCCTTCTACAAGGATTTTATTGTATAGTATTGTAAGAATATCAAATGTCTTACCTCCGAAATTGTGTATAAATGCGAAGGGTATTTGGTCAGGACCGGGACTAATGCTTTTACATTTTTTTAAGAAGTGAAATATTTCATTAGAGGTTATTGGGTGGTTCAGTAAAATTTGGTCGTTTTGATTCTCATTAACGGTGTTTACGATTTTTAACTTTTCTAAATGCTGTTTAAATGGTATGAATTCCCTGTTGAAGTTACTGTCGCTGCTGTTGTTGTAGAAGTATTCACCAAATTTGTTTGAAATTAATTTGAAATTGCTCATTAGTTCATTAGTGTTTTTGTCCACTAAATTAATTTTGTTGTTTCTACTAAGACCTTTTAAGGATTTTATTTTATTCCATATAACTTTGCTGTCAACTTTGTCATTAATGCTGCTAGTAAATTTTTCCCAGGATGTTTTTTTACTTATTTTTATAAGGTATTTTGATTTAGCTCTGAGTTTCTTAAGTATTATAAAATCATCAGGGTTGTTTGATTTTTTAAATTTTATTAAAGCCTCCTTTTTGGCCTTTATAGCTTCTTTTATATTTTGGTTCCACCAAGGTACTTTGGGTTTTTGATCTTTTGTTTTGGTTTTTCCAATGGTTAAGTTGCCTGTATTTATTATGAGATTTGTAAGAATTTCAGTTAACTGGTTTATACTTAATTTTTCTGGATTTTTAATTTTCGAAATTTCAAATTCTAGGAATTCGGTAAAAAGGGGCCAGTCGGGGTTCTTTAGATTCCATCTTTCAGCATCATATGAAGTGTCGTTGTGACGAGGTATAATCTGTATCAAAATGGGGAGATGGTCACTGCTGGTGAGATTGGGCAAAACATTCCATTCCGTGCGTTGAGCTAGACTTGCGTTGGCAAAAGAAAGATCAATAAAAGAGAGTTCACCGTTTATAGGATTAATGCGCGTTGGCTCAAGGTTGTTGAGAAGTACAAGCTGATCATTTTCTAATATTTTTTCAATTTCTTTACCTCTGTTGTCCGTTTTTTTTGAGCCCCACTCAATGCTGTGACTATTAAAATCACCAGTAATTATGAAGGGTTTAGAGATTTGATGTAAAATGTTTTCAATGTCATTTTTGTTGAAGTTATGCTGATTGGGAAGATAAATATTACAAATGTTAAGGTTAAAATCCTTCAACTTGACAGACGCTGCTACAACTTCCAAGTGCGTGGTTATGTTAATTGGTTTACTAGGATAATCTGATTTTATGTATATAGCTACGCCCCCGCTTGCCCGAAGACAATTTGTTCTATTAAAGCTAAATTCTTTGTAATTTTTTAATGTGCCAGTGTTGAGGGTGTTGAAGTTTGTTTCTTGCAAACATATTATTTCTGGGGCGTGTTCTGAGAGTAATAAATTCAGTTCGTCGAGTTTTTTGTAAAATCCATTAATGTTCCATTGAAGAATTTTTAGGTTTTTTGTTTTCATTATTTTATGAGGTTTTGTTTTGAAGAGGAGCTGCTTTGTGGTTGACTATTGTAGTGGAAGAGTTTGAAATAAAAGGGTTAGCAGTTTGGAGAGCTTATTTTTTACATATCTATCAGTTATCATTGGTTTAACTTGTTCAGTTATTTTTTGGAGTATGTGGATGTCAACATTGACTTCCTCACACAGAGAATGTATATTTATGGCTTTATTAGTGAAGTTCTCCATTATATAAATGTATTGTGAATACGATATAGGAATTTCTAAATTATTTGAAAAAAGACCTTCGGCGGGTTTGAGCCCTTCATTGAGTTTAGTGTGAAGATTTTCAAGTGAACTGCATTTTTTAATTTTTTTTGATGATTCGAGGGCCTTGCTTTTGGTTTTGTTGGAATCTAATAGTTTATCTCTTATGGTTTTCGGCTGATCAGAGATCTCCTTAATTTGTTGATCAATATGGAGTGGCGTGACTGAAGGTGCTGAAGAATTAGTTGGTGATGGAGGAGGTCTTTTGATTGGTTCGTTTGGAATACTTGTTACATTGTAAGGATTGAGTGGTTTTGAAAGGTTTGTGTTGGGGTCCTGGGTGTCATTAACTATCTCACAGATTAGATTTGTCTCTTGAGTGCTGTTGAAATTGATACTGTTGACCTGGGTGTCATTTACTTTCTCGTAGGTTGGGATTATCATTTGAGTGCAGCTTATGTTATTAGGTAATGCACTATCCCCCCCACTTATTGGGGCTAGTGTACAACTAGAGCTATCATGGTTATTGTTTTTATTTTTTTTACAGAAAGAGGATGTATGTCCGGATTGGTGACATACATAACATGTCAGTGTATCATCTGTTAAAAAGATTCTAAATTCTGTGTTGTCGTATTTAATGACCATTGAACCGGGTACATTAGCAATATCATCGGGGTGTATATATACCTGACGACGAAAGCTACTAATATGTGCCAGCTCATCGTGAAAACCAGCTTTAAGAAATGTTATCTGGGATACGGTTTTGATACCTTCTAATAATAGTTGTTCGTTTATTATTTCATGAGGAATTATCGGATGTGCATTAGAGATGATAAATCTTTTTGCTGGGTTGACCAACCGGCGAAAAGATATTTGGTGTTCGTTTATTGATATAAATGAATAATTTTTAACTAGTTCATCGACGATGAGCTTGTCCGTGAAATACACACAAAAACGGTTGTTAGATATGCGAGATGCAAATGAGATGTTTTTGGTAGAAGTGATTTTTCCGAGAGCTTTAATATATTCGATTTGGGCTATGTCGTTAATTGTGTTTAGAACAATAGCTTGTTCTTTTTTTGGAAAAATATTGTTGGCTGTGGTTTCTGCGAATGATTTTGGTAGGTTGTTGGTTTTTAATTGAGATGTAGATTGAGTTTGTTTGTGGGTATCCATATGTGATAAAGTAGCCGAAGCCATATTATCGATTGTTTGCGCTGTGGTGTGCCAGCAGCGGCTTAATTAACTAACTAGTGAGGGCCGATAAGATAAGGAGTTACATACCTGCCCGAAGAATGTTGATGTATAATAAACAAATACTGCTATCGAGAGCTAATAAAAACGTAACACACGTGTGCTCTGGACGGTGGTAGAACACGTACTGAATATAATAATAATAATAATAATAATAATATTATTATAAATTATTCTGGAAAATATGTGTATCCTGTAAGCTTTTTTTACAATAACTAGATGAGAAATTAATAATTATTAAATACTAGCTGATCCCGTGCACTTCGTCGCCCGTTAAATGGATCAACTCAATACTACCTACTCAAACTTTGTTCAATTCATTATTCAATATTCGGTGTATGGTGTTCAAAATTTATCTTATCTTTCCCGTTGCCCTGAATAAAAATTCTGAATCGCAGCAGTACATTATCAGGTAGGCAATCTACCTGCGGTAGATCGCGGACCCCGTGCTGTTTGTACGGAAGTGTATGATTTAACTCTAAAGTATCAAAGTTATACCAAGTTTATTTTGATGTAATACTGTGGATTAATATAATAAATTTGGTTGCTCGTAAAAAATCGCAACTCTTAAAAAAATTATGATTGTTGAACTCCTTTTGGGTGTAATTTTCTGCGGTAAGTGCAACTCTGCCACCCTGGTAAGCATTGTTCAATAATTCGATTTGATGCAAGCTTGTACCTGATCTGCCCGAATAACCAATGGCAACCAATAAATAAATGCTAATTTCTAATGTAGACTGTAACCAATGGCAACTATAAATAAATAAAAATAAAATTTCCAATTTCTATCGTGAATCTCAATGTCCCTGTTTCAGCACCTATTTAAAATGCGAATTTTGGCAAATCCTTTCTTAGCGCACGTCTATATTATAATAGCTATCTGTATGCCAAATTTCAGCCAGATCCGTCCAATGGTTTGAGCTGTGCGTTGATAGCAGTCAATCAGCTTACTGTTTTTTATATACAGATATGGTTGCCATGGTAATATGGACACACACACACACACACACACACTGACATACATTCATTTTTATATATATAAGATTGATATGAAATCTTGGTAACCTTAGTAACCATGGCAACCTTGGTAACCATGGTAACATGGACACACAGACAGACAGACACACTGACACACTGACATACATTCATTTTTATATATATAGATTTATTTGTTCTTAAGTACCTACCAATTAAACTATATACAGAACACGTTATTACTAATAATTTACTTTGTTTCCTCTAACAATCGTTTTTCATATGTAATGATTTATCATTGAATTCAAACTTAGCACATCCATTGCATACAGTGACCAAATTACTCTATGATGAGGTGCATTCGAAATCTATACTATTGGTACACCTAATTGACTTCACCAGTGTTATTAATTAAAAATAAGAATTAATTGTGAAATGTAATAATTTAAAAATGTACCTAGTTAAGTACCATCTCATGCACGAAGTCGTACAAATTGAAATTTAAATTTGATTAAAAAAATTCCTTTAGAAGACACTATTCCTGGGATGGGAAAGGTTATTTTAGTCAAATGTAACAAATGCATTTTTCAACTATACATTTTGTAGAAAAATTGATTTTATTACTGTATAGAGGTTAGGTATACTGAATATAATGAACATATTAAAAAAAAATCTTGTGATCTGGGTTCAATGAGTCATATAAATTGAAATAATTTTAAATACCCCCCATTGCAATTATTTATCAAATTACTTTCAACTAGAATCGATTTCAAACAAGTTAAAGACTTTTAGGAAGGCACTATAGTTTACTGGGGGGGCATAAATTAAATAAAACGTTGAATTACTTGAATTTAGTAATAAAACGTTTTGAAAAAGAGTCGAACGAAATGATAAAACGCAGTAGCTAGGTGCACGAACAGTACAATGATTATGCTAAAAACGTACACGTTGTTTTATTACCCTGTAATTAAATTTAGTTTTAAATCCATTAATTCCGTTTCAGCATTTCAACAATATTACTCGGGCAGTCGATAGACTTTTCGGTACGATTCGTGGAAAAGTCACCAAAGGTCACCTCGTATGGCGGGTATAGAATATAATAAATATGATAAGATTGCGTGTAAATGTGTAAATGTGTAAATGCGCAAAACATCTGTATTATAAATGGTTGCAACCCCTTTCGCCCAATAATTGGATTTTTTTCTTTTTGCCTACATTCTCTTTTCTCGACTAAATGTGATTAAATAGTAGATTCCTCTTTTTGCAAAAAAAAAAAAAATGCATTTTTATCGTCCGTGGTTCCACGTTCAACACTTTAGGAAGCATTGTCTCTAAAATTAGTTTAATAAAGCCATTAAGTACGAAGTCTGGAATACTAAACAATTTCTTCGAATATAATTATTATTTGTCGGTCTCGGGTTGAGAACTTCTAAAGATTTTCTTTTACATCATTCTGTGTTTACTATTTAACGATTAATATTTGATTTATAATAATATTAATAAATTGTGATTATGTTCTCAAACTGCTGAAATAAATGCATTATTATTTTTATCTTTGCATAATATTATTAATTTTACATTTCACGTTCTTGTTATAGATTTTCTTCAACGGACAGAGTTGTATCTTTGTTAGTCGATCCAAAATTGTACTTTGAATTATTATAAAGAACCATAAGTTCACCCACACTGCTTTTCAAGAATTCCACTTTTTTTATATAAAATGTTGTCCCTAGTCACCGTCTTTAGTAAAATTAAAGTAATTAGTACAATGAACCAACATAAAGAAAAATCGCAAGAGTGTTAATTGGCATAACAAAGTGAACGACATACTAAGATTAATGACTATTGATAATATTATTATTAGTTATTTCACATAATATCGATAAGTAATGACAGTAATAACACATTAATACTAATTTTATATAATTATATTACCTATATTATAATAATATTGCACTGTCGGTTGTATGAAAAATAAATAATTTTGAGACAGTGCTTCTTAAAACGTGGGCGAATAATATAATGAAATTATTATTAGGCGGAAAAAAGTGATTTTTGGGCGAAAGGAGTACCGCCCATTATAAAGTGTTTCGACGGTTCTTAAGCGGTCCATCGTGATGACGTTTTGGATAGAAATAATATTGCGTAGGTATGTGGACGGTGTTATTTTCCGCGTATGGAGTACGGACAATAACAACAACAACAACAACAACAACAACAGTAGAGCTTCACACTTATCGCGTGAGTTAATTTCGTTCACGTGTAGGTAAATGGTAATGACACAATTTATTGTTGTACATATATAATATTATAGTATTATACTGTCGCTCTAACGTAATCGGGTAGGGTTCGGGATTTACGGACGCTGTTCGAAGAGGATGGGTGGGCGGCGATGCACTCGCCGATAATAATATTATAATAATATTGTACATTATGCGTGGTAAATGGAATAGGGGTTGTGGCGGCGAAGCCTGTTGGACACTGTACGGTCGCGGTGTGTCCGACAAGCGTTTGCCTAGTCCAAAACGGTTGCGGGGTGGCGGTCGTCCTCGTCACGTGGCCGGTTAAAAGCTGGCCGGTGCAGGGGTTGGGGTGGTGGTGAGTTTCGAGAGCTTGGCCGGCGGAGGATGAGGATTGGCGGAGGAAGTACAATGAGTCCGCTCGATACTTCTAATTACGGTCGGTATATAGACGAAAGATAACGAGGCAGGCGACGACGGAGGATAAAAATAACAATATAATAACGATGATGATGATAATAATAATAATGATAACGCCACGGCACGATGGCACACGTTCTCCGCCACGCTCCAAGTTCCCAGTTGGATTTTAATTCAGTGGTGAAAATCTTCGGGAGCAGGGGGGCACTTTCACCCCTACTCAAAAAATAAAATCGTTGGTAAGTATATTATGTGTGCATATGTGTGGATCCAATAGTAACTGATAGAGGTTATAATACTAGTTGTATAATTATATTATTAATGAGATGATATTGTATAATTAACTATAGGCACTCATATAAAGCAGTAAATGTATATATAGACATGTTTGGAATATTTTTGTAGATGATTAATGATGACGGAGGGTGGGTGTATGCCGGCTTGTAAATTATTTCTAGGCTTGCCCACCCAAAAGTAAACTTTTTTCGCCACCGGTTTTAATAAAACTATTATATTTTAATATTACTACACCAAAGTCCCGGAAGCACGACGAGCTTCCGATGATTTGTCACAGGTCTCTTAATGGTCGACGATCTGACACTCCTGGCCGATGAAAATCAGCTCGGATACCGTTATTGTCTCCGTCGATGTATTTTATTGCAATGTATGCGTCGACAGCGACTTTGTCTCTATAATTGTCATTGGATAACTAGGTATCTATGACTTTAACTTTGACCGCGGTACTTATACCTGTATAGTAGCTGCGTAGAAACGCGTATAATAATAATATTATGAACTCGACGTGCTGGTCTAAACCGTCTTACAAAATTATTAATACTGCTCTACCGAGTACCAAGTACAGAATACTGTAGATTTACTGCAACCACAACTACGTTTCATAAATCGTAATACCCAAAATGATTATGACGAATAGAATTATTATTATTACAACTCTATTCGTACGGTTAAAATGGTATTTTAATAATAATATTTCGGTTCGGTCGGGGTCATTTTTTTTTTTTTTTTTTTCGGTGGGGGTGAAGGGAAAGGCTGAGGAGGGCTTATCGCTTATAGTCGGAATAAACGAAACCGATTTTCTCAAACGATCTCGGCGCCACTGCCGGACGCTTGTGCCTACGTCTACTACCTACTACTATACCACTGTCCACTACCACATACTGGGTACTCGGTATAATAGGCATTACATACAGACCGCAAGTGTATAATAATATAATATAATATAAATGGCCAAACAGTGACTGCCACAGTCGTGTCTCGTCGCGGTGCGCGGCACACATATTGCACACAAGC